GTCCAGAATATATACAGAATACAGGAGTCATTAGAAAAGCAACTTTGCTTGCTTTTACCCAGGAATTGTATTTCTGACATACTGTTTTATTTTGGACAACTGTCAGGACCAGGTTAGTCAATGATTCAGAGCCAGGAACAGTTTTAGGGATCCAGGTGCTGATGCTGTAAAAACTCTGAAACTGAATCAAGTAAAGAGATCCTCAGGGTCAGGGAGTAGATCTGACTGTCACTTCACTGGCAGATGGCTACCTTCGAGTCCCTTTTCTTGACTTGTTAGATGTTTGATTTGGAATGACAAGCAAAGGAGTGGTGGTAGGCAGCCATGCCTGCTGTTAATCTAGAAATATACTTCAATTGAACTGTCCCTTTTCCAGAAAATGTCATGAATATCCTCTTTTGCAGAGAGGAAGATGTTTGGAATTGGTGCAGTTTCATTCAGTAGGCCAGGGAAGAGAGGAAGAAAACATCAAGACATCCTTCATCAGTCAAGCTGGAGCTTGACACCAGAGACCATTCTCTAACCCCAGTGATTTCTCTTGTCTCTATAGAAACACATTCTAAAGTCAAATTCATGGAGACCTGGGAGTCTTGAAGTCTGCATGTTAAGCATTTACATATGGTAATGGCTATTTCTGTGGTGATATTGAGGATATCAGTTCTCTAATGTTTGGAGAAAAATACATCTTTAAAAAAATTAATAGTAGTGTAAACTCTCAAGCCTTTTATATCACATCTTCAGAAAAGAAGGCAATTTGCAAGGCCATCGCCCGTCGTTCCTCCTTTATTTAATCATTTTTTGCCAGTTCTGTTCCTGTGTGGCCTCAGTTAGTTACTAAACCTTTTTGAGCCTCGTAACTTCCCTACCGGTTTTAGGTGCTGGCAATGAGCTTAGAGGGCTTCCCTGAGGGCTCAGTGGTAAAGAACCCTCCTGCCAGTGTAGGAGATGCAGGTTCAATCCCTGGGCCAGGAGGATCCCCTGGAGAAGAAAATGACAACCCACTCCAGTATTCTTACCTGGAAAATCCCATGGACAGAGGAGTGCCGGGAGCCGGCACAGGAGATCCCACCCATGACAAGGTCATGAGGGAGAAAACCTGACAGGCAAGGCAGATCAGGTTTTCAGGGATTCTGAAAAGCTGCCCCCAGTGCTCACCTTAAAGATGATATCTGTCCTTCTGATGCTTGCTTCAGTAGACTACTCCCTAATTTCTGTGACACAGGCAGAAGGCCTTCCCCAATCTCTTTCCAAAAAAGAATCAATTTAGAACTTTAATCAATAAGTTTCCCACGTGGTGGTATTTTATGAGATTATCCAGGGTGAAAGGAGTGTTTTAATTTAAACTCCTCTGCTGGTATTTTAGTTTGTTTGGCAAATGCGTTTATGCCCTTGGTACTAATATGCATAACTGCTCATAATACCCTAATCATAAAACAGCATAAAGAACCTGATCATATAAAGGCCCTAATATACGTAGAGCCTTTTTGGGGGGTGAAGGAGTCCTATTAGAAAACATATGAAAAATTATTCTAAAGGTGGTTATTGGGTTAACATTTGCTTGCTGTGTTTTTGCTCTTAATGTGCTAAGGTTGTGTTATAGAAACCATTGTTAATATAGTTAAAAATCTAGAAAAATAAGAGCTTAGCCCTAGCGTGGTAACAATGAGATGGTTGCTAATTGTCAGCCAGGAGTGCTAGGCAGAAGCTGCCTCACTGAAGCCACAGAGTCTGGGTGGGGTAAACCTCTTAGATAAATTCATCTGACAACTTCTGCAGAAGAATTGACTTTTATGTTAACAAGGTTATCCTTCTACTATGTTGTGACATGCTGTACTGTTGCCCTGTGAGACTGTAACCTTTCAGTTAAGGTCACCATAAAAACAGAAAATAGGTTTACATTCACTTGACTTGCATAAAATGTTAATAGGCCCCAAGGCCAGAAGATAATGTACAAGACCCTCATAAACAAAAAAGTATGCAGAATACACCCTGGTTTCGTGAAGGACAAGCTGATGTAATGTTAAACTATCTTCCCCTTAGAAATGTACTAATTTAGGGTACAAAAGCTACCGTAAAAAATAAAGCATGGCCAGGCCTTGCCAGACTATGCTGCACCCCCCGTCTGGTCACTCTCTCCCTCTCTCTCTCTCTCTCTCTCTCTCTCTCTCTCCCCCTCGCAGACTTGGCCCTATCACGGCTGATCTCGCACGTCTTCTCTCGCTGATGCCGTTCATCCCAAGGGTACCCCCTGGATCCTGCCGAGGCTAGACCCTGGCAGAGGAGCCTGGTTGGCTCCAGTCCATAGGGTTTCAAAGAGTCGGACATAACTGAACCAACTGAGCATGCACACACTTTCCTTCGCTCATCAAAAATTTTTAAGAGCCTAATTCATTCCAGGCATTGTTGTGGGGGATGCACACACAGTTGTGAGCAAAGGAGATGGAGTCCCTGCCTCCTTGATCTGACACACTTTAGGGGAGACGTCGGTGATTGCCTTTGTGGAGGTTTACCCCACTCCTCCACTGCCTTTCTGTGGACAGTCTTAGAAGCTCCCGGGACATGCTATGTGACAGCAAGTCAAACCTGCCGTACAGATATTTGTGACCATCAGGGTGGAGGTAAAATGGCATTGATCTGGAAGTCCCCGCTGGGTACTAACTGGGTAACACGGAGTATGGCCCCAGGAGGTAAGAAGGAGCCGATGACAGTGAACACCAGCGGTTCATGTGACTCCTTCTGTGTCTCTAGAGGCAAAGACCTGTGAGATCAGAGTCACACACCAGGAAACGCGGGTTGAAGATGTGTTCTTGGACAAAGGTAGATTGTCGCTGTGCAGGCATCTTTTCAATAACATTATCCAGGCGAAAAATAAATCAAAGCCCAGTTTGTAGGTCAGGACCAGTCAGCTGCATTTTCTGGGAAGCCTCAGCACCATCTGGAGGGTGAATGAGACTCCCTCCGAGTGCAGAGGGACAGCGTTGGGCAGTGTCCATGATCCTTCTGTGAGTCAGCTACCTATATAGTCTGAGGATGGGACTAGGTACCCCTGTTGGAATAGCTGTGCAGAAAGCCTCCAATTTCCCCTGGGTACCCAAACTCTTTGTGTCCTTGAGTATATCTGCTGGCACGTGAAGTGAGTGAAAGTCGCTCAGTCGTGTCCGACTCTTTGCGACCTCATGAACTATACAGTTCGTGGAATTCTCCGGGCCAGAATACTGGAGTGGATAGCTGTTCCCATCTCCAGGGGATCTTCCCAACCCAGGGATCAAACCTAGGTCTCCCGCATTGTAGGAGGACTCTTTACCAGCTGAGTTATCAGGGAAGTCCCTATGTGTTGGCATAAAGATAGGTAATTCCTCGCCTACCCCAGAGCTCTAGCTATCTTTGAGGGCAAGAAATAGCCAGTCCCTGCCTTCATCCCCAATCACTCTTCTGCTTCAATCAGGCTTTCAGTGTTAGTCTCCATGGTCATACCCCTCATAGGGGCCCAGTGTCCCCTCTGGAACTGGTCACACGAGACAGTGCTGCTCCAGGTCAGGGCTGGCCTGGAGTCAAGAGTTCACTGCTGGACACCTAATGGCTCCCCAGCCTTGGTGGGGCCAGCAGATAACTCAGGGGTGGGGGGCACCCTCACCGAAGTCTGCTGCTCCTACAGCTAGATTCCTCTGCTGCATGACAAAGATTCAGCTTTCTGGCTTTCTACTCACAGTCCAAGTGGGAATGCCAGTTCTTCTGTCTTCTCTGGGATCTGGCATATTACTTTAACAATTTTCCTCTGCACACAGTCAATCAGAGGATATCACTGGAAAAGTTTATGAGCACCAGCCTTTTAGTGGGTTGAGTGGAGGTTGATAGGGGTCTTGGTCCATCACTTGGTTGCACGAAGCAAACAGCCCTTGTGGATTTCCCAGCTGAGAGGAGAATACTTGAATGTTTTCATTCACCCTGGAGGTTAAAGATCTTTGGCCAGCCTAGTCTTGGTACCCTTCACACTCTGGTGCACCTTGGTCTACAGCAGTAGATGCTCACTGGGCACTGGGCCCAGCTGAGGCCCCTGGGCTGGAATGAGAGTCCCAGTTCCCAGAGCCCACAGATGGACTGACTACAGGGTGAGGGTATTAGTACCAAAGAGAAGCTAAAATGGGTGTGTTGAGAATAGCCTAGGATGGCTGTGGCAATTACTTACCATCCATTGTAAGAGAAAGTTTGAGAACTGATGTCACTCTTAGTCACACACACACACACAAACCATACAATTAAATCTATCCCAAGTTGAAATTTTAAAATTGATTATAGTGTTACTATCAAGCATATTGGTTTCTTAGATGGCTCAGTGGTAAAGAATCCACCTGCAATGCAGGAGACACGGGTTCTATCCCTAGATTGGAAAGATTCCCCTGGAGGAGGAAATGGCAACCCACTCCAGTATTCTTGCCTGGGAAGTTCCATGAACAGAGGAGCCTGGTGGGACTGCAGTCTGTAGGCTCACAAAAGAGTTGGATATAGCGACTAAACAACAACAGCAAATCAACAATATATATTTATTGTAGTATCACTAACAAAAATCACATATAGCTGAAGCCAAAAGCAAGACATAAAGAACATTTCAGGGTTGGTCAGAAGCTAGTCTTCCAGGGGGCCCAGAAGCCTGGATAATAATGGGATGAAGAGCATGAGATTATGTTGATAGTCGCCAGTTATGATCTTGGCAAGAAGGGCAGATACAGGGCTGTCTGGAGAATGGAATGCCTCATGCAGGCCTGAAGCACTGTTTCTGCTGGCAGTTTAAGACCTGCAGGCCAGAGAACAGTGTGTAGCTGGTATGGACAGGGAAGACAGTCGTGAGCAAGCTACTCTCTAGAAACATGCCTTAAAACGATAAGCAGGACCATCTTGCTCAGTAAGCTCAGATTGGGGATGTGCTTTCCCACCCCCCTCCCTACAATGTCAGTCTTCCCGCTCCCTGACTTTCTCTTCCTTTTCTTCCTCTCTGTCTCAGCTCAGGGGTCGGGAAGCTCTCTGAGTATAGAGCTGTCTGCATCCTGCTCCATTTCCTCACTGCCTTCTTCACGCTCAGTTGCTGGCAGGAAAATGCTACCTATGCCCGAAGGGCTGTTCCTTAGGAGGTGACCCAGTGCCTTCTCATAGCATTCGGCCGCCTGCAGCAGCTCTTCATTCATCTTGTGAATTAAGCCTTGGAGAGACCAAGAATATGCTACATTCTGTGGTAGCTGGTTTTTAGCTACATTCTGTAGCTGGAATTTCATCTTTTCTTTCTCAGTTGATTTTGTGCTTATGGGTAAACCGTCTAAAGAACATTGGACTGCAGTGTCTTCAGATATCTCATGATCCTCCTGAGGATTGCAATCGTGCTGATGGAGCTCTTCTTCCTTGGTGCTTGGGAGCGCCTTACTGAAAGCTGTCTGATAACATTCTTCATTTTCCAGGAACTCATCAGAATATGCATGCAGAGGATTTAGTCCCTTCTCAATCGCTTTATTCATATAGTTTCTAGCATGTTCCCTTAGTTCTTCAATCTTCTCTCCATTTCCACTAGCTTCAGATTCTCCTGTATGTTGAATTTGCTTGACTTTTTCCATATAGCAGCATGCAATCTGGTGATAGAGGTAGGCATTGTTTGGTATGGATTCCAGTGCCGTTAGCAACAGTTCAATTGCTTTGTCTAGATCACCTTTTCCTTGGTAAAATTTGGCTGCACTGCGAAGGACATCTATTTGACAAGGAGCTTTCTCCAGAGCCTCTACAACCAGCTGTTCCCCTTCAGCTTGTTCATTCATCTTCTGCAGCATCAGGGCCAGGAGAACTTTGATGTACTGATTGTCAGGACTCAGCTCAACGGCCTGCTTCAGAATGTCCACAGAGGACTTCTGCTCTGGCCTGTCATCCAGGTAGTACATTGCGATGGCCAGTCCAGAGGAGAATTCCGGGTTGTTAGGTTTCTCTTCCAGAGCCTTCTGAAAATACACCTTTGCCCTTTCAATTTTTTTCCCACCACACTTTACCAGTGTCCACCCTTCCTCACAGTCCAGCTCAGGACATTCAATACTGTAAGGATTTGAGAACTTCTGGCAGACTTGTTTCACCTTGTCAACATAAAGCTGAGCTTCTGCGAATCTTCCCAGGTGATAGTAGACCCAGGCGTAGTTTCCCCAGGTGACCAGGCTTCTGACCTCTGCGTGGTCAGCGTGCTCTCGCTGGATGCACTCTTCGGCTTGCTGTAAGCATTCCAGGGCTGCTTTGTTTTGACCCTTTAAGTGTTTTATGTAGGCCAACAAGTTGTACTTTGTAGCTTTGAACTCAGAGTTTAAAAATTCAATCTGGTTACACACTCTGTCTTCGAGGTCATGAGAGACAGTTTCTTCCTTAAATAAGTTCCACGTGAAATGGCATTTCAGCTGTGGAAGGATTTGCTCCAGAGAATTCTTGTTGTCCTCACTGTGGAGAAAGTAAACACAGTCACTGTGATGTGCACTTGCCAAGCATGGTACCCTGAGATGCAAGTACGGGTTATTTTGTGTGACTACCTGACTGCACCCTGGGGTGTCCAGCCTATCAAGTTAAACATGTTCTGGTCATGTCTGCCAGGATGTTCCCAGAAGAGAAGAGCATTTGAATCAGTTGGCTGAGTAAAGCAGATTACCCTCCCCAGTGTGACTGGACATCGTCCAGTCTGTTGGAGGCCTGAGTAGAACAAAAAGGCCCAGGAAGGGTCACTTTGCTGTCTCTGCCTGTCTGTGTGAGCTGGGACTTTGGTCTTCTCCTCCCTTCTGACTGTGACTTACACCGTCAGCCCTCCAGTTTTCAGGTCTTTGGACTCAAGACTGGATTTATGCCACTGACTTCCCTGGATCTGCAGCTCATGGACAGGGGATCATAGACTGTCTCAGCCTTCATAATCACTTGAGCCAGTTCCTTAGAGTAAATCTCTCTGTTGCCCTCATGCTGTCTCTATCATTATATGTGTGTGTGTGTGTGTGTGTGTGTGTGTATGTTAACCAACATTAGCTGAGAATCTTTATTTGAACAAATAAGTAGAGTATAAGAAATTTGTCCTGAAAAGTTTTGTTTTTTTTTAAGCTGGTAAAATAAATATGTTTAAAAATTATTGGGCTTGCCTGGTGGCTCAGTGTATTGGCTCTTAATGCAGGAGACACGGGTTCTATCCTTCATCCAGGAAGATCCTACATGCCGTGGAGCATCTAAACCCCTGCGCCACAACTATTGAGCCTGTGCTCTAGACCCTAGGAGCCACAACTGTTAAAGCCCACATGTCCTAGAGCCCATGCTCCTCAACAAGAGCAGCCAACGCTCTGAGAAAGTAGCCCCCCTCACAGCAGCTAGAGAAAAGCCTCCACAGCCACGAAGATTCAGCACAGCCATAAATAAATAAAATTTTTACAAAATTATTGTAGCAGTCATACAAAAACAGGTTAAAATTCTCAATGAGGGTAAACCAAAATGTGTCCAATTATATACAACTTCTTCCCTTACAAGGAACAGGGATAAAGCTGAAGATCCATTTTGGTTTCACATACAGAATAACATAGAAAAACCAGTTTTGAGCTCAAAATTCACTAGTCTTCTTTTTTTTTTTAGCTTTTACATCCTTAATGTAGGATGGATTCCTGGGACGGAGAATTCTCGGTTGCCCACCTACCAGCTTTGCCTTGCACTGTGGTCATCAGCTTTCCTCAGAGCTCAAGTGGGAAGGTACCAGGAATGGGCTTACACATTTGATCTCAGCTCGTTTTCCTATGTTATTCTGTATGTTTTTCAGCAGTGAACCCAGAATGGAACTTTAGGTTTATCCCTGGCTGAATGGATTCCCACCACTGCAGTGCTCAATATAGTTTACTTCTTGGCCAGCAAACACATGGGGAGAGCCTGGAACAACAGCATTTGGCAAATGCCTTTTGCCTGTGTCCAGCCTTCGTGAGTTGGGGCTGACATCAACCTGCAGTATGTGTGTGTAGCTCTCACTAATACATACCTCTAAGTTTTCCAAGACAGAGGAGACGGTACTTTGTCTTGATTCCTAGATTTACCTTTCTACATCTATGGTCTATTCAGGAAACCCACAAAGCCCATCCCTTCTGTTGTGTGAGCAGCTGCGCAGGAAGTAGGTTAACTAAGGTGAATAAGAGGAGAGCACCACAGCTGGAGGAACTGAGGTCTCTCTTGCCTGTTTCAGTTATGAAGTCAGGTTTATTTAGCCATCCAGTGACCCTTCACAAGGTTACCTCTCTGCGTCACTTTGGTAGTGTTTAGGGATGCTGAGAAAAATAAAGGTAATCTCTGACCCTCAGAGCTCACAGTCTGGTTAGGAACCATGTAAAGAAAGAAACAAAAGCCCAGGGATGTTTGCCACTGTGTTACATGATTTTGTTCTTTTCCACACCTCCCTACAGTGACACAAAGACCCATGAAGGCCTGGTTTCAGTTTGATTGAAGCAGTCACTCTAAGCAGGCCAGATCCCCAGAGAGAATAAATTTGTTTTGAAAAATGACAAAATGGACACATTTGTGTTTTGTAGTTGGAAGATACCAAGGGAAATCACTTGCCTTAATTAGTTAAATAAATTACCTAAGTTCTCAAAATGTGTTCTCATGTCTATATTTTCCTAGGGCTTGGGGTATAGTTTATGGATGTTGTACTCTTCCTGTTTTATCAGTAGATTATTGGCACCATAAAATTGGAAAGAACTTCCAGAATCATTAAACCCACCATTGTCCACAATTTTGGATTTCACGGACCAGCATAGTTTCAGAAAATTGTTATGAAATAAACAGGGCTGCCAACTTATTGGCAACACTGATTTAGGGAGAAAATTCATCTGAAAAGGCACCAACCATCTGTGTTTGTTAAAATTTTATCTAAAAAAGAGAAAAGGAAAGGAAGCTCTTTTATTATCACTGAAGAAGTAAGACTATAACCTCCGAATAAAGGAAAGCTCTTTAAATTGTCAAATGCATTTTTCTGTAAGAGGAACCATTGACTGTATTTGGCAGTTTACCGTGGCCCGGCACTGGCCCTTGCAGCGAAAGTTGCTCAGCTGTGTCCGACTCTTTGCGACCCCATGGACTATACAGTCCATGGAATTCTCCAGGCCAGAATACTGGAGTGGGTAGCCTTTCCCTTCTCCAGGGGATCTTCCCAACCCAGGAATTGAACCGGGTCTCCTGCATTTCAGGGGGATTCTTTACCAGCTGAGCTACCAGAGAAGCCCAATGTGGGAGCCCTGGGTTCGAACCCTGGGTTGGGAAGATTCCCTAGAGAAGTGAAAGGCTACCCACTCCAGTATTCTGGCCTGGATAAATCCATGGACTGTGTCGTTCATGGGGTCACAAAGAGTCCTACATGACTGAGTGACTTTCACTGTCACTTTTCAGCAGTGGCCCACACACCACTGCTGCCAGGGCTCTGATCAACTTCCTGTCTCTCTCCCGCAGTGTTCACCGAAGCCATTTGTGATGCAATGTGACTGCATGCGGCGTGCTTTACAGTGAGAGAGGCAGAGGCAAGGGAACCAACCCAAGGTAAGGCCAGCAAGGAGTGTTGTCTATGCAGACATCCCTTTATGTGTGTGCCTCTTTTCTGGGCAGTCCTTTTCACTGTCTTGGTCCCTTGCTAGAGCACCACAGTGCTAAAATCTTCCCTCTCCATTTAGGGCTTTTCAATTTGGCTTCTCCTGGGGATTCTAGCTGCCATGTATGAAGGACAGTAGGTCAAAACTCAGGTTAGCAGTATTGATCAAGTGTAGCAATATTAGAAAATAAATAGTAGATATAAGTTATAAAGATAATCAATGAACAAATCTGTCTATAGCTGTTATGCAATTAACGCATTATAAAGGCATTTCAGTGTTTCAACACATGTTAACTTTGCTGACTGCCCAATTAGGAAGTTTAGAGGGAAAAAAAGCATGAGTTTCAGATCAATAAAATGTGTCTGCAGATTTGTAGGTATTATCTAAGTGCCTGAGAACAACAGCTGAATACTCTAAGGATTAATAGAGAATATACATACATCCAACTTCTCAGTGAGTCTGCAGAAAGACAGGTGACCTTGGATGTTTTCATTTCAGCAGAACCAGAAATCACCTTGCCAGTCTGATAACACGTTTTTCCCCCCAAGGGTAGTAGTGGGGGTGCATCGTAGGGGCAGACAGCAGGCTTTGATGAACCAGAGGGATCTTTGCAAATCAAGTTTAAAAGCACTGATTGGTAAAGTTTCTTTTTCCAAGATGAAACATATTCCAGTCTTGTCATAAACTTCAGAAGATCTCAATTGTCAAGAAAGTAGGGCAAGCAGAAAAGCCCACTCAATATTCCTAAACCTGTGAGAGAGCCTGGAGTGTGGAACTCCTGGGGATATTCCATCCGTACCACGAGTTCACCAGTGCTAAAGCTGGCCATGTTAAGAAATGTGTGGTAATGTTGAACAGTTTATTCAAGAGGGTAGCCAGCTCTGTATGTGGCTTCATGATTACAAAATCTACTGAATGTTGGAAATCAGCTCTGTTGATTTTCCCTAAGCCTTCCGCCCTGGGTTGCCATTTTGCTTAGATATTTGATACCTGATCTCCCCTGGAAGTATTGGGAGTCCTGAGATCTGGATAAGAAGAAAACATGAAACCCAGAGCCAGTGTCATGGGGGTTAGGGTTAAAATACTGTTGCCTTCGGAGAAGGCAATGGC